TGGTCCAGGGAGGAGCAGGCGTTGTTGCTGCTGCTGCTGCTGCTGCTGCTGTGGGGCGCTCGGGTGTCTGTACACCGGGAGGCTGCGCCCACCTGCTGTGGCAGCAGTAAGCAGCAGGCAGCACTGCAGCAGCAGAAAGCAGGAAAGCAGCAAGAGGCGCAGCAGCAACAGCAGCAAAGGTCCCGAGGCCCGCGGCCTGCAGCGCTGCAGCGTGGCCCACGCCGGTGACCAGCAGCAGCAGCAGCAGCAGCAGCAAAAACGCAGGGTCTTCCCTCGCGCAAGACTGCTGCTGCTTCTGCCGCAGCGCCGCCAGGCTGTACAGACGGCTCGGATTCGTCAGCAGCAACTTGCATTGTGCTGCACTGTACTGTATGTCCAGCTGCGAAGGTCTGCAGCAGCGCCGCAGGAACCGCCGCCACCTGCTGCTGCTGCTGCTCGCCAGGTGCAGCGGCAGACACCCGTACACGCTCCCCATCCTGCCGCTGCTGCTGCTGCTGCTGCTGCGTCTGCTGCTGCTGGTGGTGCTCCTGCTTCTGCCGCTGCTGGTGGTGCTGCTGCTTCTGCCGCTGCTGCTGCGTCTGCTGCTGCTGGTGGTGCTGCTGCTTGTGCTGCTGCTGCTGCGTCTGCTGCTGCTGGTGGTGCTGCTGCTTCTGCTGCTGCTGGTGCTGCTCCTGGTGGTGCTGCTGGTGGTGGTGGTGCTGCTGCTGGCGGTGGTGGTGGTGCTGCTGCTGCTGCTGGTGCTGCTGCTGGTGCTGCTGGTGGTGGTGGTGCTGCTGGTGCTGCTGCTGGCGAGGGTAGGCCTAGAGTGCGGCGGCAGGTGCTGCAGTGTACAGACACCCCATCAGGGGCTGCAGGAAGCAGCAGCAAACTGCTGCAGGGAGCAGCAGAAGTGCAGCATAGACTTCGTGAGGGTCTACAGCAGCAGCAGCTGCTCAGTTGCTGCCCCGGGGCTGCTGCTTCCTTACCATTTCAACTTCTGCGCGGCAGCCCCGGGGGCGAAAAAGCTTAAAAAGGGGGAAAAAGAAATAAAACGCGAATTATGTTCTTTTCAAAAAACCCGGAGTGGAAAGGAAAGCTCAGGTCCGGAGAAGGAAGCAGCTTTCCGCAGCCCGCCTGCGGTGAGTGGCGCCTCGCGGGGGGGGAAAGGCGGGCCATTTAAGGACTTTTCGGAGCCGAGTGAGCTTAAATGAGTTAATTTCAAGTAATAAAGTTCAAAAAAACCAAAAGGAAACTTTTTAGTTCGAATTTATTGCAGCTTTCCACTCGGATCCGCAAAGTTGAACAGGTCGGCGGCGTGGCGTCGGCGCCGGGTGTCCATACACCCCAACTCCGCAGCCAGTTCCCGCAAGATCTTCAAAGCTGCACTCACAACTTCAATTTTGCAAATTTGGAGTTTTTTTCTGCTGCAGTTTCTTGAAAGAAGTGGAGTTGCAAAAGGATCAAGACGGGGAAGAAGCCACGCCGCCAACTCCCCCGCAGCCGCTCTTCTCCGCATTTCAGAACTTCTCCAAATTTCCAAATTCATTTATTTGCACTTTTTCTTTGCTGCGCTTCTCCGCCACTTGCACCGCTGGCCCTGCTGCATGCACACGCTG